GTCCTAATAGTATCCGGAGGTAGTCTATATGATTCGGAACTGATTGGTGGATTCATGGTAGTTATGTCGTTTCTAATGTCATGCTATATGCGTTCGTTTTGGTCATTGAAATTCCTAATAACATCGTACACTGATAGAAAATCGGTTGAAACTTTGTTCGTCACTTTTACTACGTGAATACCGTTAATTTCACAACTACCAGTGGCACCATTTACTTGCAGGTAAGTGTGCTTATCTTTCAGCTTTTATTCATTCATGCCAGCCAATACGTTTTAAGCACCGAAAAAACAGCTCCAAAAATCCGTTGTTAACTTGTGAGATTGTTAATACCCATAGAAAACGCGTAAGTACAAGGTGTGATATTAGTGGCTGTTCCCCGTATGTTTTAACAACACTTTCGTTGGCCGCCTGTGGTAACACATTTTTACCTGAAGTGTGTCACCGTCGTGACAATGCCCTTAGGGTTATGCTGATCTCTGCCTCTGTGTCGACCAAAATGTCCGAGCCAGGAATATTATTCCTGACATGCAAAAGACGACTTGTTGTTTGTCATAAAACGGTTGCCACCATTCCTGTCTTACCAATGCGTTTCCCTGACTATCACCGCTGAGAGATTTAAATTTGCTCGGTCTTCTGCTTTACAATTTTATGATCAATGTAGCTGATAAAATACCAAGCTAGCTCAACAACACACTGAGGGCTGTATCTTCTTTAACCATTTGATCTTGCCTGTAAACTGGGATGACTCATGTACCGACTGTTATTTGGGAATGAATTATCATTATCATACACACAGGAAATTATGCTGAGCGTTTCTTAAATCATCAAGAGTAGGTGCGTTCAATTTTACTTTGGCCTTGTAACACACAATTAAAAGTATTTGGTAATTTCAACTATGATTGCTACAATCCGAGGTGTGTCTTCGGACTAACCGCGTAGTGAGAATATCCATGTGATCGATAAGCATAGAAAGAAAATATATCGTAGTTCTGTTGGCGTAACAGTTGATAATTGAGAACAAGAAGTAAATGTATTTGTCGGCGATAATCAATGTGTCATGCAAGGGGGTTTAAGACCAGAACGGAAGGTCAAAATTCATATATCTCAAAACAATTCTACGGTCAATAGTTGTAACAGTAAAAATTATGAGAATTAATGAAACAGTGCAAATGATAACAAAAACTAATTAAAAAACATGTCTGTGTTAACTATCCCTGCACATTTTATCTTCAAACCTATCGCAGTGAACTGACGCTCTTTCACTGGTGTTTCTCAAAATTTACGGTGCAGTGAAGCTTGACTTCGAGTACACGACAGCCGAACCCACTTACGGCACAACACTTCGTCATCCAAAAGAATTCGTAGATCCTTTATCTTCAATAGGTATGAATATAAACTCCAGCACGAGCATTCAGTTAAACTTGTTTTCACTCGGTCGCATTTAACTAATGTTTTCGTTCAACCTGCCTTACAACTCAGTATACACGTTTCCTTACGTCGCGATTGATTACAACGATCCCTCAAATTAGCATACGAAAGACTCTTCAAAGTCCTCCATTGCAAAATTTAAGTACTATATCATTGATGAAGTCAGAACAAACGATTACGTAACCACTGACGGTCTTAAAGTCTTTTATCTGTGTAAGCATTATTACGAGCCTCACGATAAAAATGCCGTCCCTGATAATGAGTAACCGGAATCATACTTCGGAGGTACCCAAAGACCGCTGCAGAAATATACTCTCTGGAAGAATGGTAAGGTTTCCTTAGAACGTAGACAACTACGAATGCAGTACATTGAAAAGATGGTCTTTCGACCCCATTTTTGCTCATCGCACCAATAATAATGTATTCTCAAATGACAGCATGCTACATGAGGTATGGTAGGTTACAGAAAAGGTCAGATTATAAAAATGCTACAGGCTTCACTTTATTAAGTCGCTCTGTTAGATTGATATGTGACAAGGTACATTTGTCATGGAAACATAAGATATATTTTCATACAATGGAATAATAATGTTAACAGGACCCTAATCTTGTGGAGGTCAAGTTGCGACAAGCAATTGGCGGACGAGAATAAATGTGATTGAAGTTCAAAGTTGTTTATAATAAGACGTCATGCAGTGAATGCGTAACCAGTCAGTGAAAAATGTAAAATTTTACATATTATCTTGTGCTTCTTTATAGTGTTCTCTGATACATTTCGGTGGTATTGTGGTGGAACAAACAGTATATTAACCGAAAAACAGCAATAAAGTTATTACGTCCAAAAGTTAATGTAGCAATAAACAACACACAAAATAATAACGCAAATAAAAGTTTTGGGACGTTACTTAACTAAGCAGGTTTGCAATTTTCTTGTTGATTTTGGTACCATAATCCACAATTACAGGTAAATAATAATTCCAATGAGACGACGTGGTTCCAGTAGTATATCTGAATGTAGAATGTAGTGTGAATATTACAACAGTCTATAAACATAGATGATAGTTAATTAATCGTTCCGTTATTACATCCACAAGCATGATAGAACGAGAGACGTATGTATAAAAGTGTATTTGATTATGAGCAGTTAACTGTGTCATGCTATGTGGGATTCAAAAACGGAAGGAAGGATGTAAGTATTCAAGGTCATATACTTAAACAACAAGTGCAATCGATTAATGATAAATGTACAGATTGTGAGAATTGGCAAAATAAATGAAAAAGATATCAAAAACTATTTACAAAATAGGTTTGTTAAGTCTGTAGCGTGGTATCGAGTCGCGGTAGACTATGAACACCGCTACCAAGGAAACACGTACCAGGATATGCATAAAATCCCCCGGAAGCCAAATATCAGAAGGCAGTTAATGGACCAAATCGAGATATATTCACTGGCGATCTAGTGATATCGAAATGATACCGGGATACCAGGATACAAGCTTGGTTACAGAACTTAACCGAATTCGCGCGAGGTCACAATCAAAGTAAGTATAATGGATGTTTTTAGCACAGTTAAACAAAGAGCACATTAAAGCAGTCACTGGTACAATTGGTTATAACAATAATTGTTTTCATTGAACTAATCGTGTTCTCGTGATAAAAGTAAGTCACTACAAGTCTATCACCACATAGCTCCCCCCACAGTGTCCGGAGGTAACACTAGGTTGTTAAACACAAAAACAAAGAACAATACAAAAGTGGAGTACATGGCAGAAATATACAATGTGTTAAAGTACATTGATGTACTCAATCACAACAAAAAGGAATGTAAATATGGTCAGTGAATGGTTAGCTAATAGGAATACAGTACAAAACAGTTGATAAACTCATAAAATAAAAATTGGATTATTTATTTTTACGTACTGTTAATGAATAATTAACTACAGTTCACCCGGTAATTATTGTGACAATTTTTCTTATTATTAAAAAATTGACAAAACAAGTGATTGTGAAAAAATCTAATTAATTATATGTACATGTAAAGAAAAAAATAATTTTTATTAGAAAATTAAGTAAATTTAACCTTGTAATATGTATTATTGAATGTTTTTGATTTTATTAGTCTACAAAATGTACATAACGTATAGGTTTCTTTATAAGTCTACCGGAACGTGTCAAACAAGAAGGTGTAGTGCTAAGTTTTTCATCCTCCTCTTGTTTCACAGTAATTGATGGGACGGATTGTTTATTCGCAGTGCTTTCTTCTTTGTCTTGTGAAGTTTCGTGGAAAGCTGGTTTCATTCGTCTCCTTGTTCCCGTTTCTGTTGACAATGAAGTATTTGTGAGTGCGTCTAATTACTTTCAAGAGACCTTCATATAGTGGTTTCAGTGGCTTTTTCACAGCGTCTACTCGGACGAAAACAAATTTGCACGTTTCAAGATGTTTATCAAGTTGAACTCGATTGTTATGTTCTCGTGGGGATATTGCTTTGATGTTCTTCATCGTTTGCAGTAATTTGCTTAGAAAACGAGAAGGATCACCTGAGGTTGTAGATTCGCGATTGACCAGTTGTCCTGGCAACGTTAAGGTTGTGCTATGAACTAGTTCGGCCGCAGTGCATCCGATGTCTTCCCTTATAGTTGAACGAATCCCAAGAAGTACGAGCGGTAAAGCATCACTCTACTTTGAAGAGTCAGCTTGTGCCATCAGGGAGCTTTTCAATTGGCGATGGAATATTTCAACCATGCCATTAGCTGCTGAGTGACAAGCTGTTGTTTTGATGTGGTTTACATCGAGAAGTCTAGTGATTTCCTGAAATAGAATGGATTGGAATTGGGGACCACAGTTTGTAGTGATTATCGAAGGTACTCCATAGTTCGATATCTCGCGGTCAAGGGAAACGGATGCTACTGTTTCAGCAGAAGTGTCTTTGATAGGGCATGCTATAGCCCATCTTGTAAACCTGTCCACCGCAGTGAGAATTTGAGTCAAGGAATTTGTCGGTGGCAGGAGCGCAACTAAGTTTAAATGAATGTGTCAAAAACGTTTGTCGGGTATAGGAAATTCTCCGATTAGGCTAATGGTGTCTTTTTGGATTTTGCTGCGTTAGCACTGTAAGCAGCTACGTGTCCAATGTTTAACATCCGAATTGACTCTTGGCCAAACGGAACGTTCTGTGATAGGCTTTTTGGTAGCTCTGATGCCCGGATGCGACAGTCCATGTAGCTGTTGAAATGCTTTTCGTCGACAAGGTTGTGGCACAAAGGGGCGATTATTACCCGTTGAAGTGTCGCAAATGATAGATGCATCTGAGAAAGGAATGGGTACAGGTTTAAGATTCAAGTTAGACTTCTCTTTGCAGGTCTATTATTACAGTAACAAAGGTTAATATACTAATGATGAGCTAGACTATAAATCTACAAGCTTGTATCCATCTCCACTTTCGGATTGCTTCAACTGGGATTTGTGGTTGATGTAAGAGCTGTGGCCTACAATCGCCTTTTTTCATTGCTAAACCCTTCGGATTCTTTGACCAACTAATAAAGATATACGGTCCATTACCTCATGTCTTAAAATGGTGTACGTTGGAGGACTCAAAATTAACTTATATTGTTTGAGAACTGGAGGAGGTAGTACAGAGAACAAATCTGGGTAGTGAATACCCTTGTATTTCACATTTTGTATCGTGAAATAATGCTTTATTTGATCAAGTCACAATTCGAAGTCAGTACGATCGAATACTATCTATCTCTAACGGTGATAAAATTTACTTATGCCCCAGGCTTTCACATTTTATTAAGTTTTTAATTGTTATATATAACAAATGCATTAATGTAATCTGGTATAGAATTATTCTAGCAGGAATACTGTGAGTTAAAATACGTAAATGTATGTATGAAATGTGTCATCAGCTATCTTAATAATCTATCAAATGGTTTACTTTTACGACTAAATAAGGAAATATGTGAGACGAGAATTTTTGGTGTTCATAGCTGAGCTCATCGATCCGAAGCTGGTAGCTACCTCTTGTTGAAAAAGGCAGACTAGTGGTTGTATTCGGTTTTTGTTTAAGTTGCAGAACAGAACAGTTGTAGCTCATGGTTATAATGTAGACAAACAACCTTGTCAAACCTAAATACGGGATAACAAAAAATATGTTGCCTACACGACATAAGGAAGCTGAAACATACTCCGGCCATGATGTTTGGACATTAACGAAAATTGTTCGTCCAAGTCGAAACCACTCAACTTGAGTTGTCATAGATACACAAGAGTTGTCTGACTTTCAGTCCCCAAGAATATCAAACTATGATACTTCAAACAATAACGAAAAGTCAAGTCGACTACTCCAGAACTATGAGGGAACGCTGCGTAGGTCTTGTGTTGACAGAAACCTGGGACGGCAGTACCGACCACAAAGACGATGTAGCCAAAGCTCATATCGCTCTCTGCTTTATTAGAAGGTGACTGGGCATGTTGACTCCTATGTTGTATTTTGAAGTATTCACAATCAAAATTTACCCATATCTGAAGATTTACAATAATGTCGCACCTCCTCTCCACAAAAGGGATACGAATTTCTTGGAGGGGGCTCTATGAAGTGGGCAGTTCAACTAGGTAACAAACAATAACCAGCCGATTTCTGTTCACCTCATACCCTTCTGCCTCCCGCTATTTGTTGACTCTAGACAGTTTTCTTTTAACACTATGTGCTTAGACTATTTATTTGCTCATTTCGACCGTCAGCTCATCCAATATATCCAATAAATTTGTGACGAGCGTGTATAAACTGATCGATTTTCCCGCGTCCACTTCTTATTGCTACACGCCTCTACATCCTGAATTCTAATTTCATAAAATTTAATTACGTATAGAATTAACCTTCTGAGCTGTAATATGGTAGCTGATAATCCTAACAGCTCCACTGCCTTAGAATAAACACGCTCATTAACCTCAATCGACGACCGAATTAGCTAACAAATAATGCAACCGAGTGTCTAGGCAAATCGGAGGGCCGTAACCGTGAAGAAGCTAGTGAAAAGAAATCAATCAACTTATGGAAGTTTGCTTAAGGGACATTGAACGTTAGACATTGAGGCGGCATCGAATTGAGTCGCTACTGCGTTAGCTTGTTTCGGACGTCGTGTTTCGATTTCAAGTAAGAATGTTTGGGTTTTCTCCAAAGGACTGATTCTACACACTCGTTTCCATTATTAAGCTATAAAAACGTGCTGTTTGCATACAACTGCTCAGAGGTCTAGTTTGAATGCACGTTTGATTGTTAGCCTAGTTAAATGTTGACGTGTTTCCTCAATAACTAATGCTAATCTGGAGAGTTGCTTGAGTTAGACAGATTTTGACAAGACATGTTTTGGATATTGTTAAAGTCTTTAAGGTCTTGAAAATGTCCTTCCCGAGTTTAAGCTTTGAATTTCTAAACAAAGCTGTCTATAAGAATGTCGTATAACAAATAGTAGTTAATAATACCCTCAATATGAGATGAAACTCATGTTCATTTCCTTGTAGTGGCTTTGGTATCACGAGGTCAGTTTACATGTATCCCATATCAACCTTACATTGACAGGGTGCTGAGCAACAACGTTTCGTTACTGACACTAGTAACAAATATAGTTTAACTAAGTCTGCGCTGTTTTTTTTCCACCACATATTCCCTCACACTGTATTCCGTTCTACCTACTTTACATTAAGCTTTCCAAAAATGCCAATTTGAAATGTTCCACCATCAATTTCATCTTAGATTGTGGTTTGGTCCACTAAATTAATTTGAAGCACAGGAAGTGACGTCTACTGAAGAACATCAGTTACTTGTGGATGTGTAATACATATTGGATAGATGATATACATGCTTGTAGGTAGTATGCGTCCTTATCGTACGGATATTTATATGTCCTGCGTAATCTCTTTTTGTATTTAGTTGTTTGTCTTTCTATGAACGATCGTTTTCACTTCAACAAACGGTGAAACTCTACTTTATGGATGACCTTTGAACGAATTTTTAAGTGACCTTGAGAACATTAGCCAATCAGAAGAGAGTTAGTATAAAGTAAAAATATATAAAAAAGTAATGAATTACAATGGATATTCTTTTTTTTTACATTATTTAAGAACTTGTTGAGGTTTGATATAGGTTCAGAAGGTTTGAAATCATAGTGCATGCGGTATAAGAACTCGTCTATATGACTCCATAATAATCGTCCTCTGGAGCCGTGGTAGGAACTTAAAAAATACTTCAGCCTAGATCACGTGCCCTCAGTGTTGTTTGTATAGACCCCCGTCGTTGGATCAACAAAATGACGTTTGTGCACCACAACATGATGCACAAAACCAAGTCTCGAGAGGCATCTATACGCTTTCCAATCACCGGTATAGCCGCAGCTAATGTTACTGGAGACTTTATGATCCAATTTGCAACGATTATCATGGTTTGTCTTAGCCTTAGCCATGACCGGGCAAAAAAGTGCCAGTTCGAGCAGATTTTTTTCTACAACATGTAGTACAACGAAATACAATGTCATCGCGGCAGTCTGCACATCGTGATGCGGTCATTTAATTGCCGCAGTCACAGACACAGGAACTTCTTAATAGTCCCATCTGCTGTAGTCTCTCAACGATCACCTATTCTCTAAAATCTGCTGTAAAACGATCGAATGTGAGCATCTGGCATTGAACTTAGCGCCGTGACCTTGAAACTCCTTAGACGCTTCTGATTGGCTCGTCCATAAATTAGAGTCCTACCCAACAAACATATTTTTTTAATATGATAAAAGCCTAGAATGTCCGCCTTTCATATCAACTTGGTGGCCCGGTACCTGTCTGAATTCCTCAAATGCTTCTATGATTTGTTCTCATTTAGCTGGTGGGGTGTATCCATTTCTTTCCTTATTTCCCCGCCAATCATATTATTTGCGCTCGGTCTTTTAATACAACCAACGCCATTACTTCCGCCTCTTTATTCATGTCGATTTCATCTCCTGACATTATAGTTTGGAAGCGGGATAGTGAGTATTGGTTTCAGGCTTTGTATTGGTTATTTACAGACCTTCCAATTATTTCCAAGTAGTACTTTATCTACATATGTTGAACTAACAAGCCATTCTTCGAATACTAAGAATGTCCCTACCGGTTTGTTCGTCATGTATTAAAATTGAAAGTATTCCCCGTGTTTTAGTGTAAACATTCGTCATTTTTTCATTGTAATCTTGTTTATTTTCCAATTCAGTGTCTCCACCAAATCACCGGATACAACAGTAAAGTGCTTATCAAGTGCCAATTCATCAAGGTTTGAAAGGTGTCAGCTAAATGGGCTCAATCTTTTCAAGACGCAGAAATCGGTCAAGAATTACGGAACAAGACAAAGCTATTCTAAGGTTGAAGAGGCAACGTGACAAACTCAATCAGTTGACCAATAAGCTAGATAACCGGATAGAAAATGAAAATGTTCTTGCCAAGGAACTTATTAGGCAAGGTAAAAAGGAGTGAGTTTCTTCGTTTGACCCTTGTGATGACATTAGAACAGGTATCTGAGTCAATAATATTGTTGCCATTATTATTAATTCTTGATGTTGCTTATATATCTGAGGGGTTTGGATTTCTGCAGATAGTCCTAATTCGTATTTTTTTCCCAGGCGGGCTCTGATGCTGCTGAAAAAGAAGAAGTATCTCGAAAACCTCATTCATAAAACCAGTATTCAACTGTCAAACATCGAACAACTTGTCAATGACATCGAATTCGCTCAAATAGAAGTGGAGGTTTTAGATGGGTTAAAGTGTGGGAACAAGGCTCTCCAGGATATCCAAAAGGTAATGTCGTTAGATGATGCAGAACGGATTATGTCAGAAGCTCAGGATGCTGTGGAATATCAACGTGTAAGCTGTTCCATAGAAATTGTTCATATTGTATCTTTTATCAGGTTTAGTATCCATTCTCAGCTGTGTTGTATTTGAGCGAATAACCCAAATGTTATTAGTTATGGGCGTTAGCACAAATATTTTTAGTAATGACCCGTGAAATTAATTTCGATGAACTGTTGGGATAGAAGCTCGCATAAATCAAAAATCAGTTGTGTGGTTGTTTTGTTTCATTGTCAGGCCGTTGTGTGAATTGATTATGTTGTTACGTTTAGATACTCAGGATGTTAGTCATAAATAAGTGTGCAGTCTACTGTATACATTTCCGATGTGAGGTTCAAGAAATTAATATAGATTCTGAGTAACAATTCTGTTGAAGGATCTTGGATTGTTAGTAGTTTTACTTTACTGCTAACGTACGACAGAATAATTACAACGGATCTTGGAAACCTGCAAAATTAAAGCTTCCTTTGTCGAAAGCTAAGAGGTGCTTTACCTAAAATAAAAGATAAGATCCCGTTTACATCTACACGAAGTTATGTAGATCGTAATACGTTCTACATGGGAGAGTCTTGCCCGTGAGATCTCGACTTGTGCCAAAGAACACGTAAGTTCCTCAAAAAGACCTCTTAGTAATCCTGTAGAATTGCAAAATCTACAAGTGAAATCTACAATAACAGTGGATACCATTCCAACAATCACCAAATTGACACTAAAAATATCAAAATGATTCAGAAACGTTTTTCCAACTATGAAGAGAGACGACTAGCCAAAACGTTTCTCATATTGTTAAATCCCTCTGCCCTCAATGGAATGGAACGCCTGACTATTCATTTAAGCTAGACTGTTTATCCAAACAACCGCATTTGACCCTATTCACTTTCCACACAGTCTGCACACATACACTCCATTTTAAATCCACTACTTTATATTACATGTGTATAAATTTCCAACATCAAACTTCTTACGCACAAATTACTACAGTGATATGTCATACAGAATCACCCTGACCAAAGTAACTTGATATTTACACGTTCAGACCTATTATGATTTTGACTGTACTAAAAATATTCTGCGTTGTTTTCTTTGTACTATTTAAACTTGTGTGTTTCATTTCGGTCATTTATTTACTCTGAAGTGGTTTGCATTAAGTAACAAAACATCAAATACGATTTTCAACTGATCGGAATATCACGAAAATATATTTATTGTTATTATCGATAAATGTTAACTATTTTTAATTTCTGTCTTAATATGATTCGCACTTTAAATTATGTATTTAATTAAGAAATATCGTACTACTGCTTCTTTCAGTGCGCATGACTATTAACTGTTTAGTTTTAACCGTTTTCTTATAACTGTCAAAAATATTATGTGGCTCGGTTTATTTACCGAATGTAGGATTATGTACTTAACTTTAAGTCGATATTTTAGTGTGGGGCCTAATTATGCTACCAGACTACCTCAAACTGTGGTAGATACAATCGAATTGGGACCTGTGACCTATTTGTTGAAAGTCGAGTAATTTAATCACCAAAATAACTGGAGTAAAATAACAACGTATTGTAAATATATCGAGAAATGACACTATTTTGAAGTTGCTTCAAATGACATATTTTTTTTTTAGGAGTTAGATGATATGGTTTCTGGCGGTCTGTCCTCTAACGATTACCACGAAATTGAGTGTGAATTAACTCGTCTCGTAGAACCTGAAGTTATCGATCTCCCACATGTGCCTGATCATCCCATAGATCCGTTTGTTGAAAAAAAATCAAAAGGTAACTCACAGAAAGTATATCTATGTCTCGTGTTATTTATGTTTGGTTACTGTAAACTGATACTGATACACACGGAAAGGTAGTGTTTTGTGCTCGAAAAGAAGGTTAAATATTGAACAAAACTGGTCAGTATAATGTCATCCGTATAATAAGTAGAGATTATTGTTCTCACTCAGGTCTTTCATAATACATAAGAGTGAGCTCCATTATGTATCATGTGGTATAGTCAGTTTGCAATTCTCATAACTGCGTGGATGAATAGCAAAAAAATAATCGTACGTTCAGAACCTGAATTTATATGCATTTCAAATGCTGTACTCATTACCTTTAGTCGTCTGGGTTCGTGAGTAATCGTGGTAGTGTTGGGAAATCCATTCGGGATATTAGAGTTTAATATATAGCTTAACTTCTAATGGTTGCTAAATAATTACATAATATATTCCTGTTGTTGTACACAACTCTTACTGCAGTTGTGTCATCACGGCTGATGACTATAATTCAACTATTGTTATTATTATTATTATTATTATTATTATTATTAGAAGCTTTATTTAACATAGAATTCTCAGCATAAAGTATTTCAACAAGTTTCCTTTTCTTATACCTTAATCGATTGTGACGATAAATTTTGAATGATGACCAGTTAGATATTAGGAGTTCGGTAATCCACATTTGATTAATGTTCATTTGTTTCAATGTACATTGCCGGCCACCATGATGTCGCTGATTGTACCTTTTTGTATCCCGTATAGCGAAAAGTTGTAAACTTTTCATAAACGTGCCTGAATAGCTTGTGTGCATAATAGACATAATGATGTGCTAAAACAAACAACAAAACAGATAACTTGATGAAATATCTAGATCGGAGGAACAGGTAGCCCAGATATTCAAGCAGGCCACCTTCAACTATTTGGCTGGTGGCCAACTTCTCATAGGACAGTTGTTTACTTTGATAAATCACTGAGTGATGTAAGACATTGTTGTTTTGTTTTATCAGGCCTCAATTTTCTCTATCTTACGGTTTGTTTGGTATCCCGTTAGTTTTTCACACATTTTATCACTAGTTGGTTAAAGTTTGTTATAAGTGTTTGTATATCCAGCCTTGTTCCATACTCTTCTATGACAGTTATTTTACTCGGCTGTACAAGCGAAAGTTAACAGTGTGGTTTTAACCTGTAACCTTGTGATTTAAAATGAAGTAGTTTTAACTACCACGACACATTGTTCTACTCAGTCAGTCAGTCAGTAACAACGTAGAACTTCGTACGTACGTACATCAGTTCGAGTTGCCACACCACATTAGCACAGAGAGTTTGTTAAAAATCCATATATATTTGAGGGTTAATCGGGTGTGGATAGATTATCGATTATCTGCACGTTGAAACCAATAGGAAAATAGTTTAAGAGTTAATGTACAGACATGCATTCGATCATACACACCGAAATTAACATAGTGAATTAATAGTCTAAGTTACAATGAATAGACAGATGATACAGTGGCCAAATGGGCTTGCCATAATAACTGACACTACATAGCCCCCTTGTAGAAAATAGCACATTTAAAAAATGTCTGTTTTCGAAAATAATACTCAAGTGATATGAAGTTAACGCTAACAATAAGTAGCTAAAAAAATTGTACAACACTCGATAAAGTACAGTAGTGTCACATGAGGGGTGAGTGTATTATATGAAAATGTCATGCTTATGCAAAAGAATACATGAATATCGCAAAGGCTCGGACAAAAATGAAAATGTTAGCATGTGAATATGAGCAAATTAATGAGCGTACAAAAAATTAACATGTACTAATGCTATGACTGCCTGAAATAACATGTTTGTATGAGTGATTCAAAGTATCGTGAAAGTAGTAATAAATTGTTTGTAGGTATAACAGCGAAATAAATCGTCAAAATGGTTCGAGTAGAATATGACAGAAATTGGTCTGTGATGCTGACAAAATAGTGAAATATGCGAAATACATGTTCTGTTGAACCGCAGCAGAATAAATCGCATTGACTAGTGATGAGTGAATTCGAATTTAAATGCGTAGGATGATAATAGGAAAGTCGTGAAATGATATCTGCTTCGACGGGTGATATTCGTTGCTGTACTGCAATTGATAATAATCATAAAATTTGAAGTGTGAAGTCAGTGAACGTTGTCGTCTGCGTTATTTCAGATGCATTGAGTTATCGTTAAATATGTATTGGTAGAATGACCAGAGGAACAGAATAGTGACTGAGTAGACAAGGTACGTAGATTCGTATTACTTTTTGGTCGAGAAGCTTAGAGTGGTTTGTGTGAATTGAGGGAGATGCGCTTGACCACGTTTGTTACAAAACCGTACCAAGCCATGACAAAACTACCAATACATATGATTAGCGATTGCGACGTATGAGACTGACTTGGATGTAACGAACAAGAGTGTATCTTTGAGAGACTAGCTCTAAACTCTATGTTCTGATATACTATGCGATGGGTATAGAATAGTAGTTGCAGTACTCGAATAGCGTTTTTGAGTGATAAGTGATGCAGCATGTAGTTATGCATGTGGAAGAATAGATAAAATGAACGTAATGGTTACTAGTCATCTAGTCAGAAGCATCCACAGACATAATAGGAGGCGACTTCGAAATGAAAAATGTATGTTGTGATAACATAAATTGCTGACCTCGACTAAGTGAATGAATGCAATATTAGTTCAAAATGACATGAAAAATTGGAACGAACTCACTTAAAGCAGGAAAATTTCAGGTTTTCGAATAGTAAAAATATCCCAATGAGTTCTCACAAAGTTAAGTGGAATTTTCATAAAATGATAATTTGTTCGGTGAGTAATATGATTGCGAAAATGTCATAAGTTAATGACAGCACGAACAAGATTAATAATTCCACATTCGATCATGATATTGATAATAATGTAAAAATAAGCATATGATGGTAATTTGAATCGTAATTGAACAAACCGACGAATGGATCAATGAGGATAATTGACATGAGGACAAAGTATCGATAAGATAATACGACTTGAGCATGTCCATGTCATGTTGCACAGGCTGTGCTGATTGCGTCGGATTGGAGATTGCGCTGGCTTCGCTGAATATGTTCTTCGAACGTATAGAGTGCAGAAGTGCCTTCATCGACGTAGCTTGCTGCGTTGCGTTCGTCGTCGGCGGGCTTACCAATGATGAAGGCCCGTTCGCATGCTAAGCGAGCGAGAGCCATAACAGAGCAATTTTGACATGTATGGAAGATGGCTGGGAAGCCAACTCCATTTTAATTAAGCGTTACTCATTATTTATAGGCAGATAAAATAAGCTACAGACATACAATGAGTCATGGGACATGAAGTGTACACACATATACGCTCATGTGAAAACAGTCAAGGCTAATAAGCGAATAATTGACAAGCTCAAAATATGGCTCAAGTAAAATGAATAAAATAGGATGTCCGGAAGTTAGAATAAGGTATATGGGCTTGCCATAATAACTGACACTACAACCTAGTACCCGATCCCTAACAACTGTGTGTTAGCGGGACATAAACTAGATTAAAGCATGCTCAATGCATGATTGCTTTGGTGCACGCTGATTGGCTAATTCTTATCCAATCAGCACTAGTCGATAGTTGGAGAATACTCTGGAATCTTCTTATGTAAAAACTATAAATATACTGACGTTTTCCCTATTGTGCTTCTGGCTTGCATCTTGCCTCCATCTAACTTTGTTATTTGGAATATAATCTCTTTCCTGTTCAACCGTGTTCTGATTTGGGGTCTTGTCGAGTGAATCGGTGTCCAAGAATGCTAAGCAATAGGAATAGCTGGGTCATAACCGTAAGAAGAAAGAGATTATAACACTGTGTTACTTACTCGATGGTCCCAGGATATACGAGCAATGTTTCGAAGACACCTATGATCGAATACTAGTAACCTACGAATATCCTCTACTCTTACCGGCCATGTTTCACTGCCATAAAGAAGGACGGAACGAACTGCTGCGCAGTAAACCCGTCCTTTGGTTGATAGACGGATATCTCGCCTACGCCATAAATGACGCAAGTTGGCAAAAGCTAGTCGAGCCTTCTGTATCCGTGCTGAGATTTCGTCACACACCAAACCACAAGGGCTGATGAGACTTCCAAGATAAGTGAAGCGGTCGACACACTCAACTACTTCACTCCCTATCACTAGTTCGGGTGTCGATGTAACCCAATCCTGAAGCGACATTTTGCATTTCGAGGGAGAGAATCGCATGCCGAACATGCTTGCATTGTTGCTTAGAGTAGTCAGAAGACTCTGCATTTTGTCAGCGTCTTCACCAAATAAAACTATGTCATCTGCATATTCTAAGTCAACAAGTGAACCTCCCGGTAGAAGTTCAACCCCTGGAAATTTAGATGAGGAGAGTGTTATCTCTAAAAGTACGTCGACCACAAAGTTGAACAAGAATGGGGAGAGTGGACAGCCCTGACGAACACCACTTGAGGTAATCAATTCTGATGACAGTTCGCCATAAGCTCTCACTCTACCAGTTGTGTTCGAGTAGAGAGCCTTTATAAGGTTAATGTACTTCTTTGGTACTCCTTTCAGTGACAAACACTGCCATAGAACCTCACGATCAACAGAGTCGAATGCCGCCTTAAGGTCGAGAAATACTACCATTGTGGGGCGTCTGAACGTGTGTCTATGTTCTAGAACCTGACGTAGTGTGAATATCTGATCTATACAACCACGTCCAGGTCGAAAATCAGACTGATTTTCTCTAATCTGCTCTTCACGAGCTTTGATTAGGCGTCGAAGTATTATTGAAGCTAATATTTTAGACACTATATTAGTCAAACTGATTCCTCTGTGATTGTCACAGGAGGACTTTTGTCCTTTCTTATAGACTGGCACAATCAGCGATTGGGACCAGTCAGATGGGATTATGTCCAGTTCCCAGGTTATACCTAAGACCTCGGTCAATCTCACTGCTAATACTGGACCGCCATCCTTAAAAATCTCAAGAGTAAACCTGTCAGGGCCTGCTGCTCTCCCTCGTTTCAGATTTCCTATGGCTTTTTCAACTTCGTAAAGGGACGGAGGACCTACATTAACTTGCCATTCAGGTTGACTAGAGATCGTGGGAAACCGAAGTGTGGCTGAAGGCCAGTTGAACTGATCCCTAAAGTGTTCTGCCCATCGATCCAATCTCCTGGATTGAGAATGAATAATATGTCCATCTTTCTCTGAGATTGTTTCGCTAACAGTCGGGTTCCTAATTCCGGTTTCCTTAACGAGTCTGAACAATTGTCTGCTATTACCTATTGCCGCTGCCTTTTCCATCTCTACTACCATTTTCTGGCTTCCAGTCAGTTGGTTCACAGACATGTATCACTTTGTTGTCTTGGACATCCAGTAAACAATACACTTCATTTTTGTTTTTGACCAAAGCAGCATTCCAATTTACCTCAGTTTTAATATTTACATCAAAAGTAAACTTATCTGTCTCCTGATGGTTTAAGACACTGATATTATATTTTGTCAGCTTTTAAACATAGCAGCGAGTAACTCGCTATACTCTACATTGATTTTTACATTTATATATAATGCAGAACTTTCGTGTGCAAAGTGTTCTCTGAGCCGGATGGTTTAGTTGTAAAACTTTGGTTGTTCTTCTGAGGAATACCACCAGCACAACTTCTAAAAGGAGTCTCTATTTTCACAGCTAAACCATCTAGCTCAGAAAACTCAACAATCCTCATCCTGAGCTATAAACATCCATCTCAATTCTCATATTCACTACATATAAATCCACTTAATCTGTGCATTATTTTAGATCCTGCACCCAGAGAGCGAAGCAGAGAAGCATTAGCAGTTGGTAGTTAAATTGAAGATATCATCAAGTCATTTGGTATGAATACAAATGCTTCAAGTATTGACAACTGAAATGGAACAAATTATATGTTTATACAGTTGAATTTACTTATTTGTTATTTATTTACATACAATGCTTTCCAATGTACAGAAATTTGTATAGTGATTAAGTCATTATTACTATTGTTATGCTTACCCCTTTCTTCAATTCTTAGCATAATATATGCATTATATTAATGTCCTTCCTTTTGCTGTGAAATACAGTATGCATACCTATTCATCATTTGGTACTACTTTCAATGTAGATTGTATTTTATGTGTATGTGTGTTTCTGTATGCGTTACACAATTTGATTACATTTCAGAGTAATGCACGGATTTGTAAGTATGAAACCACTAGTAAAGCACTTCATAACACGACTCTGCCTGAAAAACGGATATCTTGTCTTCATCTGTTTTTGGAAAAAATGAAATGTAATCTATAGTTATAAATATTTTTTTAAAAGTAACCACAATAATAAGGCCAATATTTGAATGAAGAATATTCTTTTCGATAAATTCTATTCAGGTTCTACAATTATATATCCAAATTAATAATCCAAAAAGTGGTTGGGTTAAGAGCAGAGTGCATCGTTTAAAGCATGTGAATTTTATTTATTTATTTTATTTGAACACAAATATTGGTACAAAGTGGCACCGAATACACAAGTGACTTGATTTGTGTATGGGCTATGATACTACCCAGGTGCTCAAACCGAAGCAGGTGGTTTGCTTAGGGGACAACACCCGGGGCCTTCGACCTAAAGATCTGATCCACAAGGCAGTGGAGCAACATCAGGAACTGTAGTCCCATGGTAGCCGGTGACCAATAATAGATTCATACTCCATTTGTTTCGTCAGGTTACTGGAGCCCATGTGCACCATTGGTTTGGAATCAGGGTTTTCCAACTCCCCTAGGTGGATCCTCCATATCTACCAACCCGGTTAAATTGCCAGACATTCGCTTTTCCTCCTCTTAATTTCGCAAACAGTAATAGCTGTTTGCCGACTGGATTTCGCACGTATGGGAAATATCGTTAATAACCATTTTCCATTTATGCTCTAGAATTCCTAGGTTTACTCTTATTGACGTTTAAAATTTTCTGTGTCCAACAGTTACCCTAACACTCCGTTTCTATCTTATGCTTCTTAAGAAAGCCGCTGGTTTCTTTGTATTGAATTTATACATTAGTTTATATATTGGTCCACAGTTTCAAGTTGCCTTTTCGCCCTAACTTTAAAACTAATCACATCAATCTTAGAAAGATTAGATTTTTATTTTGTGGCTTAAATTTGTTGCATTAAGTTTTGAAGTTTGATAAAAATTAATGCACTGATTCGTCAGAAAGCGTAGCTGATCTACCTTGAAAATCGAACCGATTCTTTCACATCAGTCTAAAAGTTCACTTGGAGTACTTAACGTTACATTTTATGAATCTGTAGCGAAGGTGACAAATTATTCGGATATCTTTATCCATATCTTCATGTTATCTATTTTTACGGTCTTATTATTTAGTTATCATTATTTACATTGGAGTGATTATAAATAATGTTAAGGTATATACTATCTGGCTTGCTGTCCTGTTAGTTCAAAGATTACTGAAACCTTTCATAACGTTATTTTACTGTAAACATCTTATGTTGCCAAGGTATTCTGTACATAAGTTCTCTTATTTATTAGTCGCTTGAGAATAGTTCATAAAGTCCTACTCAGTCAATTATAATTATTATTAATTGAGATCATGAACCGATTGATGTTAGACCACCACAATTGAAAACCTGGAAGCACTGGACGGCCGTTTCGTCCTATTGTGGGACTACTCAGTAGTGCGCATCCACGATCCCGCCCGCGGGATTCGAACCCAGGGCCTTCGGTCTCGCGCGTGAACGCTTAACCAACTGGACCAATGAGCCGGCATCCAATGGTGATAGTTTCTAACATCAGCCAATCCACGAAATTGGGCGACCAACTTCCGTTGTACTGAGGTAGATACCTGTCTCTACCTGACAAGGATTAGCTCCACTGGTCACGGAGTCCCACAATAGGACGAAACGGCCGTACAGTGCTTCCAGGTTTTCAATGGTGGTCTAAAATCAATCGGTTCATGATCTCAACCAAAAACTTAATAATCTCCACAACCCCTATACTAATAATTATTATTGTTAATCTCGTGTTAGTGATTTTTTCTAACTCGTAATACCTCATTTTTTAAAAACTAGGTACAATATCTGTAATCTATGTGATATATGGACCGTTTTCGTTGGTGCTCAGACGACGTTGAGAATTATGGATCGACCAATCAAGATAGCCTATATGAAGAAACAGTAGTTTTACAAAAAACTGGCGTCCGTTTATACGATGGCCCTAATCGAAGTGCTTTCGATGGCGGCTTACTCAAGCTGACGACTCATCGTATCTTATGGTCTGATCCTTTAGCACTGACAAGTTCTTTTATAGCTCTTCCATTGGCTGCTATAATTTCTGTAAAGGTTGAGGAGGGTGGTAGTAGTCTAACAGTAAGCCGTACACCGAAATTGATTCTTCGTCTGTTAACTGTTGCAGCGCTACAAAATTTATTGGCAAGTTTACCGAATCCTCCGCAGTGGATTGAACACTGGTGTGAAGGTGTTGGAAGTTCTGGTTCTGGGATCGACAGTATAACTTTTAGTGCGACTGCAGTTGTCAGCTATTCAAAAGAAGATTATGTCAAATTAGGCTTTCCAATGGCTGGGCATCATGAATTTCTACAGTCTCTAAACGAAGTTCTAAAGGTACATTTACGAAATAATATATTTTTGAACGTGTTTTATTTAGGGTTAGTAAGTTGTAATCGGTTTAATATAATATTGTATGAATCTGAATTTACACTTCTACACGTGTGCTACCTGTGAATTGAAATTTACTAAAAGACGCTATGTTTATGATTGTAAAGTTGACATTTTTCGCTGTGATTGTCATGTAATTGTAAACATATCTTGACTATGAAGTCAGACGTTTTCTTAATATTTATGGAATATTTAAAAAAAATCTATTTTAATAACAAACGGAATTTTTCGTTATAAATCTAGGTAAAACTGTGGACATTGTCTTATCATTCAGATTTTAAATTGACATCTAAGTCGTTTGGTACTGGAGGTATTGGGGCAATTCAAAGACAACAAGCTGCACGTGCTGTTGAAACTGATCGTAATATTACCGAGGCTTTTGAAGATTTGAATCAACTTATGAACAACGCAAGTGAAATGGTTAAATTAAGTCGTCTGTTGGCTAAAAAAGTTCGCGATACAAAAGTAGGTGTGTTTTTGTTTTTAAAGTGCGAACAAAATATTTAGTTCTTTCCATTATTATTCGTGAGGATTCATCTTTTCTCATTGTTTTGTTTGATATTTAGTACTGAGTTTTGATATAAAACATTTTTTAAAGAAATTATAATTATGTCGCAGTTAGGTTGTAATCTAAGGAGTACTTTCCTATTTCAAGTAATCAGTCGTACGTAAGCAGTGTTTTTTGAGTTAGCGTTTTATAAGATATAGTTGATCTCCTTACTCATTCATTTATTTCAATGTTGACTGACAGTTACATAGATTATTTTCTAGCATATGGTTTTCATTAATTTTTCTTCTTGTTAATCAATTAATTGTCTGTCTCAATCTTTTTCTTCAGGGTAGTGATCTATCAGCTAATGAAATCGCTGAACTACGTTCGGCCATGCTGTCAATGGGAGTTGTAGAAGTCGTAAGTGGTGGCGATGACAGACGATCCTCATCATCACTCAGCGGTACGACCTTCTATATTCGATTAGCTCATCAGGTATCGAGTATACTGTTTCCATTACTAAAAGGTCAATGTTCCAATCATTCAACTGATCGCTTACATACTAGTTGTATTGATTTAGCAACAGCTTATTGTCGAGTTAATCGTGCACGAGGTATGGATCTAATATCTCCGGAAGATTTACTTAGAGCCTGTCGTTATTTAGATGAAGAAAAACTACCCATAAGGTTGAAGGGCTATGCAAATGGACTTCTAGTAGGTGTATTTTGTCTGTTAGTGTAATTATTATTATTATTCAGCTTGTGTAAATTTTTAAAATTACTTTTGTTTCGTTCGAATGGAATATTCCTGCTCTGGGATTTTGTTATCCAGTAAGTAATTTCATGTAACAAGTGGTTTAGTTCTTATGAAACAATTCCTAGATCTTCATAATTCGATAGTAATGCCGTTAAATAAATTTAATACAATGCTTTTATGTAAGCTGAAGAATGTTTTGCACTTTTTATCCCGATAAATTACTTTTCGTCTACTAGTTCCACACAATTTTACCATGGAACGTGTTGAGGATGCTAGATCCCCAGAACTCACTTGGTAAACGTTTATTTTTGTAATTTTATTGATTTGAATTTCTTGTTTTCGCACCGAAAGCACCCATTTTCACCTTCATATCGTATTTCCCACTTGGAAAGACCTTGAATGTTATTTGTTCGTTGTCGGTTTTAATATGCTATTTTGTGACGTTTTCCAACGACATTTGTATGCTGTATATATACGCTTGAGTTGTGCTTGTTGTTATTGTTCGTTTTTCTGGCTGCTTGTGGAATACACCTTCTCTCTTCTGAACCTGGACTTCTCCCTCTAGTTAGTAGGCTGTGACGCATCGGAATAGTTAGCTTATCTGGTCATTGTGTCGCTGAGTCTTCGTTCCATCCTCAGATTTAGATGATCGCATAATGTCTTCAAAAATAGCAGAACGGTTGGTTGCTCACTAAATGTTTGGTCATGCATTTTTGCAGACGAGACAAATAAATGAACATTGCAAACTTCGAAAGCTAATTTTCAAGAGATGAGTACTTATATTCTTAACATGTTTTCGTCGGACACTTAGATTAATAGGTTTTTTTATTGAACTAATTGTAAGCTTTCATTTGACTAATTGGCACTATTGTTATGACGTTTTCTGTACTTGAGTTATTATA